AGTGGTCTTTGCTTTAAAAATCTGGAGACACCATCTCTATGGCGTAAGTTTTGTGGTGTACAGTGACCAAAAGAGTTTGAAATATCTGTTTGATCAAAAGGAGTTGAATATGAGGCAGAGGAGATGGATGGAGTTTCTAAAGGACTACGATTTTGGATTGCAGTACCACCCATGGAAGGCTAATGTAGTGGCCGATGCACTCAGTCATAAGTCCTTGCACATTTCAGCTTTGATGGTTAGAGAAGGGAAACTAATAGAGGAGTTCAGGGATATGAACCTGAACTTCCAAATAAGACCTCATAGTATGATACTAGGTATGCTTAAGGTCACAAATGAACTATTTGATCGAATTCGAGTAATGCAAGTTGAGGATAGTGAGATAATGGTCAAACGAGATTTGATGATGAGCGGGAAGGAAACCGACTTCGTATCGGACTCTAGTGGGATGATGCTTTACAAAGGGAGGGTGTGTGTACCTCGTGATGAGGAATTACGGAAGAGTATTTTGGAGGAGTACCATAAGAGTAAGATGAGTTTTCACCCGGGGACAACGAAAATGTACCAAGACTTGAAGATGTTGTTTTGGTGGTCTGGATTGAAGAGAGATGTGGCTTCGTATGTCTCGAATTGTCTGATATGCCAGAAAGCCAAGATTGAGCATTAGCGACCATCAGGAGAGTTACAATCCCTAGAAATTCCTGTTTGGAAGTGGGATAGTATCTCCATGGATTTTTTATCGGGTTTTCCGAAAACTCAAAAGGGATACGACTCGATATGGGTAATAGTGGATCGGTTGACTAAGTCTGCTCATTTCTTGCCGATGAACATGAGGTACTCCCTAGAACGATTGGCGGAGCTGTATATCCGAGAAATTGTTCGTTTGCATGGGATACCGTCGAGCATTGTGTCGGATAGGGATCCCTGTTTCACTTCAAACTTTTGGACTAGTTTGCAGTCCGCTTTGGGAACCAAGTTGAAGTTGAGTTCAGCATATCATCCACAAACGGACGGTCAAAAGGTTAAGGGGCAAGGAAATTTCTTTGGTGAAGGTACTGTGGAGCCAAGTAGACGAAGGAGATGCTACTTGGGAAGTGGAACGAGAGATGAGGGTGGATTACCCTCATCTGTTTGAATCAAGGTATGTTTAATTTCCGGGGATGAAAATTCTTATAAGAGAGGGAGGATTGTAACACCCTAAATTAGAGTCTTTAAAATTATAGTATCAGTCCTGGGATTCTAGCTTGAGCGAGGGATTCTCGCCTGGGCGAGAGAGGTTCACCTTGGAGGATTGAAATGGAAAATGTGTGTATTTTCTGGTTGTGCAAGGATTAATTGGTGAATAACGTATTTATTATAAACATATATGTGTATGTTTGTAATAAGGGTTGCTTGGATTCACTAGGTATGATTGAGAGTGAAATCAATGAAAAGGAAATGTATTTTTAGCCGACCATAAATGGTTAGCGACTCCGGCTCGAGTTTATGTAGCAACACTTCGGCCCGAGTTTATGTGGCAATACTTCGGCTAGAGTTTATGTAGCAACACTTCGGCCCGAGTTTATGTGGCAACACTTCGGCCCGAGTTTATGTGGAAACACTTCGGCCCGAGTTTATGTGGCATGTTTTCTTTATAAAAGAGATGAGAAATTGCTTTTAGCTAACCCTAAGGGGTGTAGCGACTTTGGCTCATGTAATGTAGCACGGAAAATGAATTTCAAAGTGATTTACTAACCTTTTCTAATGTGGATTATCTTATAATGACGTTTATTGAATTAATGACTTACGCCTTTATGTGTTTGTGCTTTTATCATTGATAATCCCATTGCAGATAAACAGGTGACATGAGGTGGTCTCATTTTTGGAAGCTTTAGGAGCTTTATCTTTTGGTTTCACTTATTTGCACTATTTTGTACATGAGTGCTTATTGGATGAGTTGAAATATTTTGTTACTATGGATATATAACTTACATGATTTATTGTAACTCTGGATATTCGTAGCTATGGGTATTTTGGAAACCCATAGCTAGTTGTATGTGGTTTTTGCATGACATATGGAAATGGATTATGATTTTCTGTCGAATAAGTATGTATGTCATTTTGAAATATGAATGAGTAGGAATGGGAAAGTGAGAGTTAAATATGGTTGTTAGAAATTGTCAGTAAAATCTATGAGGAAATGAATGCATAATGAATAAGATAAGAAGAAAGTTTCAAGGGTAGAATTTCGGTCCTTACAATATGGTATCAGAGCATAGTTAATTATGCGGCCTAGGGTATGGCCTTACTTGCTTCTTTGTAACCTTTAGTTGATTTAACTATGTGATTTAGGTGAAATGTTGTGTGATTATGTGATGATTTATCTGGTTAAACGTGGTTTACTGATGAATGAATGACTGCAGGTATCCGTCACTAAAATGTCTGGAAGAGGACGAGGAAGGGGATCGGGTCAGAATGAATTGTTGGCCTAGCTTGTGGCAGTGCTGACAAACATGAACGAGAACTTACAACACCTGAATCAGAATACGACACCAAGCCCGAGTTCACAGCCTTTGGTTCCATCCTGTCCGGCTGAGTATCGAGGTTTAGATGAGTTCTGTAGGAGGAACCCCAGTCCGTTTCAAGGTGGGTTCGCTCCTGATGCAGCCATCGAGTGGATTCAGAGATTGGAGAGGATTTTCAAGGCCATGAGTTGTTCTGATGCTCATAAGTTGGCGTATGCCACCTATATGTTAGAGAAGGAGGCCGAAAACTGGTGGGAATTCACTCGGTGCCAAATGGAGGCGGAAGGGCAAGTAATTTTGTAGTGTACTTTCAGGGAGAAATTCCTTCGAAAGTATTTTCCTGCTGATCTGAGGAGTCATAAAGAAATGGAATTCTTGAGGTTGGAACAAGGAAACCTGTCGGTGGAAGAATATGCGACCAAGTTTGAAGAGTTGCCCCGGTTTTTCCCTTATACTGACATCCTAGGCGAGAATCACCAAAGGTGTCGAACCTGTAAGATTCTCGCCTGAGCAAGAGAATCCTTGCTTGAGCGTGAGATGCCTCGCATAGGCGAGAGTTCCTTCGCCTGGTTGAGAGGGTCAGATCTGAGTTTTTAAAATGGGCGGGATTTTCTCGCTTGAGCGAGAATGAGCTCGCTTAAGCGAGAATCCGACGAGTTGCATTAAATGAGAAACCCCCAAACACATTTTAAGGTTAATAAAAAAATTGAGGTGAGTGAAGGGAGCTTTTCCAAGGGCAAGAAGCTTCAATACTCATCCAAGAGCTTGAGAAGAGGTAAAAACTCTTGATTCTAACTCTCTTCTTCTCTTTGGAACTCTTTTTGGGTATGTTGGATCTCTTCTCAAAACGAGAGAAACAATGGAAACTCACCCCTTTGAGTTATGGTTCGTTTCATGTTGTTTCTATCTGGTAAAATCTTTGTTTAGAGTTGGTATTGCAAGAATGGAACGGGTTTGTGGCTTGATTCATGAAAACCCCAAAACCCTAAAGTGAAAATGTGGTTAGAGAGCAAAATGCTAGAGGTAGAAGATGATTAAGCTTTCTAATGTTGAAATATGAGATGAATGTGTATGTTTTAGATGTTATAAACTTGTGATAAAAGTAGTTTAGAAACATTGAAAATGTGTTAAATAGCTTGTATGGTTAAATAGTGCAATATAAGTTGTCTATATGATATTTGGAATAAACGACTAACATTTTGTTATATGGTGGGATGAGGAAAGATTCTAAAGTTGGAGGCGGTGTCGGTGGAACTTACGAAGTCGCCAAAAACCATACCCAACACTCACCAAGGTAAGGGTAAGTCTTTAACTCATGCACTGTGATAGAAAATGCGTGGATTTTCTGAGGCGGATAATGAAATGTATTGTAAATCGCTTAGTTGTTATAAGCATATATGGGTATCTTTATAATGATGAGGAGTGGATTTACTGTTTATGTATTGGTGGAGTGCCAATGGAAATAAAACTCGGAATAAAGCAATGAATTGTAGATCACTTTGTAGTTATAAGCATATACGGATATGTTTGTAATGATGTCGGGTGCATTTACTCTTATATATTGGTGGAGTGCCAATTGAAATAAAACTCGGAATAAAGCAATGAATTGTAGATCACTTTGTAGTTAAAAGTATATACGGATATGTTTGTAATGATGTCGGGTGCATTTACTGTTTATGTATTGGTGGAGTGCCAATGGAAATAAAACTCGGAATAAAGCAATGAATTGTAGATCACTTTGTAGTTATAAGCATATATGGATATGTTTGTAATGATGTCGGGTGCATTTATTGTTTATGTATTGGTGGAGTGCCAATGGAAATAAAACTCGGAATAAAGAAATGAATTGTAAATCACTTAGTAGTTACAAGCATACATGGATATGTTTGTAATGATGTCGGGTGCATTTACCGTTTATGTACTGGTGGAGTGCCAATGGAAATAAAACTCGCTTTAGCCAACTAGGATGGGTTGGCGAGTTTAGCTCAAGTTTTGTAGCATGGTTTTTTAAAAGTATCAACGATGAAAATGGTTTTAAATATATTTAATTTAGATTGTTATTTAACCTTATTAAATGTGGATTAACTTACATTGATGTTTATTGAGCTAATGACTTACTCCTTTGTGTTTCCGTGTAGGGTCAATGTTAATCCCTTTGCAAGTAGGTGGAAGGAGTATGGGCGTTTTGATTAAGAGATTAGAGACCTTTATTTTGACGTCTATTTGCTCATTCTTTTGTAACCTAATTGGTTGTACTTGAACTAACTATTTGTAACGATAAATATGATTTTTCACATGGTGTTTTCCATGGAAACTAGTAACTCGGGATATATGTAGCTATGGGCATTTTGGAAACCTAAAGCTAATTGTATGCAGTAGTTACTAAGTTACATTAATACGAATTATGTTTTTCTGTCATATGATCTTGTACGTCACTTTTGGAGTATATATTGAGGGTGATGAGGGAAGTGAGACTTTTTAAATAAGTACATTCAATCGGTAAATATAAATTATAGTTAAATGTATAAAATTGGATTAAAATAAGGAAAAAATTTCAATGGTAGAAATTGGGTCCTTACAGAGACTCTCAGGACAGATACTATAATTTAATGACTTTAAAATCCAGGGTGTTACACTTACAATTTTTTTCTTCGATTCCTCTATAGCCCATTCGAGAAGCTCTATATGGATACAAAGGGTTAGATGCTCTCTTGCGGTATTCTTCACTTATTTTATGCAAAAAAAACAACATTAACATTATACATTACACAAAAGTGCATAAGAATTTAAAGTCAATAAAAGAAATATTATATTACCTAGAATTTTTCGTCTTGTCGGAGAGATCTGCCAGTAGTTTTGATGATGTAATCTTTGTGTTGCTCATCAACATCAAAAGTTGCCTAAATAGAAAAATACATCAAAATTTGCCTACAGATTGCATGAAAACACATTCTATTACAGAATAGTTGCCTAAATATATTAGTTTCATAAACAGTTTCATGCATAACCATAAAAATATACAGATTGTCGTGTTCTTGATCCGAATAGTTTCATAATAGTTTCATAAACAGTTTGCATGGAGTAATAATATACACATAAACACATAATATATTGTTACATAAACACAACAAAACACAAAGACTAATATACACATAAACTTACGGTTATATCCTCCCAAATAATATCCTTCACTGAATTCAGCCTCTCATCAAACCAATGTTTAAACTTTATGCACACATTCTTCCTTACCAGAACTCCAATATAGCTTACTAAGGTATTTCCACCTTTATTGTCCTTTGTGTTTCAATCAACCGTCAACTTGATATTCTTGCTTCTGGCACGAACAATATTCTTCATGGAAGTCACTCCACGTGGTCTACGTTTATGTGTTACTAGTGTTTAGGTAGTAACCATGGTTCCTTGTTCGTTTTCTTCATTTTAAGAAGTCATTGTTGAAGGTTTGAGAGTTTTGAAGGTTTGAGAGGTTTCTGTGTTGGAAAGTTTGAGAAGTACGTAACCAAATGTTGTGTATCAATTTTTGATATTTTAACTTTCCATATACAACAGCGCAACTTTAAAATTTCTTTGTGGATATTTCCTCATCCACAACGCATCTTTAACATACGTTGTTGCAATTGCCACATTAATAGCGAAACTTATATGTTGCGTTGTTGAATATGTCTCACTTAATAACAAATTCTAAAACAAACGTTGTTGAAGAGGTAACATGAACAATTACATCCACAAATTCCAATGACAACTACTCATAGACTTACGACACATATCCAATCACTTCAAAGATTTAACTTACAATTCAAATTCATTTTTTGTAAGTTAATCAGTTTTAGTTTTAAAATTATTATCATTTTTTCAGTTATAAATAAATCTTGAACATATATATAATCACATAAAGGATTTAACTAATTACAATTTAAATTCATTTTTTTAAGTTAATCATTTTAAGTTATAAAATTATTATCATTTTTTCACTTATAAATATGTAACAGAAAATTATTATCATTTTTTTTAATTGTTAGAAAGGTTAAATCATTTTCGTTAAAAAATAATTCAAATCTTCAACAACGCATCATATTATTTCGCTGTTGATCATTCATATTTTTATATCTTCAACAACGCAAAATTTTAATTCGATGTTGATCATTCATTTTTTCTATATTAAACAGCGTAATGTTAACTTTTCGATGTTGAACATATGTTTTATTTTTTAAAACACGTCAAGTTGCACCTGCCAATAATTACTTTAATTTTATCCCTTACTCATCATAGTTATAAATTGACCAAAACTGAAATTGTAATTAATGTAAATGTTCAAAGTACAAAATAACCACATTGATAAAGAAACCAGTTATAAAATCCTCAACATATATATAATCATTTAAACGATTTAACTAATTACAATTCAAATTCATTTTTTTTAAGTTAATCATTTTAAGTTATAAAATTATTATCATTTTTCAGTTATAAATATGTAACAGAAAATTATTTCAATTTTTTTTTCATTGTCAGAAAAGGTTAAATCATTTTCATTAAAAAATATAATTTCAATCTTCAATAGCGCATCATATTATTTCGTTGTTGATCATTTATATTTTTCTATCTTCAACAGCGCAAAATTTTAACTCGATGTTGATCATTCATTTTTTCAATCTTAAACAGCGTAATGTTAACTTTTCGGTGTTGAACATATATTTTATCTTTTAAAACACATCAAGTTGCACTTTCCAATGATGGCTTTAATTTCATCCCTTACTCATCATATTTATAAATTGAACAAAACTGAAATTGCAATTAAACTAAATGTTAACAATACAAAAAACACAATAAACAACTGAAATTTTAAATATTAATTGAAATTGAATGTTGTATATATTGAAAATTATATTTTGTGTATGTTACTATCTATACTTCTGTACATATATACAATGAAATTCGGCCTTATGTTACAATCTAAATTAAAATCCTTAATAGTGAAGAGAAAAAGTGTGCAACACAAAGGACCCGTTCCCATTTTTGTTCAATATTGAAGAGTTAGGCCAAGCTGAAGAAACCATATAATTATGTCTCATCTATAACACCCCAAATTTTAAGTCTTTAAAATTATAGTATCAGTCCTGAGATCCTCGCTTGAGCGAGAGATTCTCGTTTGGGCGAGAGAGGTTCACCTGGGAGGGTGAAATCCTGGGCTATACTGGAGGATTCTCGCCTGAGCGAGAGTTGTCTCGCCTGGGCGAGAAATGGCATTTTGGGACTGTTGACACTGTGAGATTCTCGCTTGAGCGAGAATCCCTCGCTTGAGCGAGAGGGTCAGAGTTGAGTTTTTAAAATGGGCGGGATTTTCTTGCTTGATCGAGAGAAAGCTCGCTTAAGCGAGAACCCGATGAGAACATTAAATGAGGGAAACCCCAAATACATTTTTAGGTTAAGAATTGAAGAGAGGTGAGAGAAGAGAGCATTCCCAAGGTCTAGGACTTTGATTCTTGTTCAAGAGCTTGAGAAGAGCTAAAATTCTCTATCCTAACTCTCTTCTTTTCTTGAGAACCCATTTTTGGTATTATGGATCTCTTCTCAAAGTGTGTAAAACCATGGAAACTCTCTCTTTCGAGTTATGGTTCGTTTTATGTCGCTTGTACCTTGTAAACTCTTGGTTTTGAGTTAGTATTCCAAGAATGGAAAGGGTTTGTGGGTTGACTCATGGAAACCCCAAAACCCTAGAGAGAGAAAATGTGGTTAGAGAGAAAAAATGGGTAAAACGCTAAATATGATGGTTGAAAACTCATAATGAAAGTAGTATAGAACCATTGAAAATATGATAAATATCTTGTATGTTTAAATAATGCAATATAAGTTATTTATTTGTTATTTGGAATGAATGACTAACATTGTGTTATGTGGTGGGAATGAGGAAAGATCCTAAATTTGGAGGCGGTGCCGGTGGAACTTACGAAGTCGCCAAAAACCAAACCCAACACTCACCGAGGTAAGGATAAGTCTTTAACTTATGCATGGTGTTAGAAAATGCGTGGTTTTTCTGTTATGGGCGATGGATAAAAATGTGAATCACTTAATCATTATGAACATATATGGGTATGTTGATAATGGTTAGAGGTGAATTTACGGTTTACTTATTGGGGGAGTACCAATGGAAATAAGACTCGAAAATGAAATCATGAAGGAATTTCGAAATTCATAGAAGGATTTTCGAAGCTGGCTCTACCTTTGACCAAACTCACTAGGAAAGGGGAACCTTATGTGTCGACACTTCGATGTGAACAAAGTTTTCAGTTGTTAACACGCAGGTTAACTACGGCGCTAGTTTTGGTCCTTCCCTGTACCGATCGGGACTTCAGTGTGTATTGTGATGCATCCAAGCAAGGTTTGGGTTGTGTGTTGATGCAGTAAGGGAAGGTTGTGGCCTATGCTTCTCGACAATTGAGGACGCACGAGCAAAACTATCCTACCCACGATCTTGAGTTGGCGCAGTGGTCTTTGCCTTAAAAATTTGGAGACACCATCTCTATGGCGTGAGATTTGAAGTGTACAGCAACCACAAGAGTTTGAAGTACTTATTTGATCAAAAGGAATTGAACATGAGACAGAGGAGATGGATGGAATTCCTTAAGGATTACGATTTTGGGTTGAAGTACCACCCAGGAAAGGCCAATGTAGTGGCGGATGCACTGAGTCGAAAGTCGTTGCACATGTTGGCTTTGATGGTTAGAGAAGGGAAACTGATTGAAGAGTTCAGAGATATGAACTTGGAGGTTCAGATAAATCCTCATAGTATGATTTTGGGAATGCTTAAAGTCACAAATGAGTTGTTTGAACAAATCCGGATAATGCAAGTTGAGGATAGTGAGCTAATGGATAAACGGGATCTGATGCTGAGTGGTAAGGATACAAATTTCACCACGGACCCTAGTGGAATGTTGCGTCACAAAGGGAGGGTGTGTGTGCCTCGTAATGATAAATTACGGAGGGATATTTTAGAGGAGTCCCATAAGAGTAAACTGAGTTTTCACCCGGGAACCACGAAAATGTATCAAGATTTGAAAACACTGTTTTGGTGGTCTGGGCTAAAAAGGGATGTGGCCTTGTATATCTCGAGTTGTTTGGTATTTCAGAAGGCCAAGATTGAGCATCAGTGACCAGTAGGAGAATTACAATCCCTAGAAATTCCCATTTGGAGAGATTGGCAAAACTGTATATCCGGGAAATTGTTCACTTGCATGGAATACCGTCAAACATTGTGTCGGATAGGGACCCCCATTTCACTTCAAACTTTTGGACTAGTTTGCAAACCGCTTTGGGAACTAAGTTGAAGCTAAGTTCAACTTATCATCCACAAACGGACGGTCAATCAGAAAGGACAATACAATCATTGGAGGACCTTTTGAGGGCCTGTGTCTTAGAGCAACCCGGGAGTTGGGATGGCATGTTGCCGTTGATCGAATTTACCTACAACAATAGCTTCCATTTGAGTATTGGAATGGCACCTTATGAGGCGTTGTATGGTAGGAAGTGCCGAACTTCAGTGAGTTGGTTTGAAACTGGGCAGAACTTGATATCGGGGCCCGAATTGGTTCAAGAGACGACGGATAAGATCAAGCAAATCCGGGAGAATATGAGGATCGCCCAGAGTCGGCAGAAAAGCTACTACGATAGGAGGCGGAAACCTCTTGAATTTAAGGAGGGAGATCATGTTTTCATGAGAGTAGTCCCGACTACCGGAATTGGTAGAGTGTTGAAATCTCGTAAGCTGACTCCGTGTTTTATTGGGCCTTATCAAATACTGAAGAGGATTGGGCCGGTAGCGTATCGTATTTCCTTACCACCGTTGCTGTCAAATCTCCACAATGTGTTTCTTGTGTCTCAGTTGAGAAAATATGTTGGAGATCCATCTCATGTGGTTGAGTCGGACCAGATAGAGTTGAAGGATAACCTAACGTCTGCGACGTTGCCTGTGAAAATCATGGATACCAGTGTAAAGAAATTGAGGGGCAAGGAGATTGTCTTGGTAAAAGTGTTGTGGAGCCAAGTGGACGAAGGAGACGCTACTTGGGAAGTTGAGCAAGAGATGAGGGATGACTACCCTCATTTTTTTGAATCGAGGTATGTTTAATTTTCGGGGACGAAAATTCTTATAAGAGGGGGAGGATTGTAATACCCCAAATTTTAAGTCTTGAAAATTATAGTATCAGTCCTCGGATCCTCGCTTGAGCGAGAGAGGTTCACCTGGGAGGGTGAAATTCTGGGGTATACTGGAGGATTCTCGCCTTAGCGAGGGTTGCCTCGCCTAGGCGAGAAATGACATTTTGGGGTTGTTGACACTGTGAGATTCTCGCTTGAGCGAGAATACCTCGCTTGAGCGAGAATACCTCGCTTGAGCGAGAGATTCAGAGTTGAGTTTTTAAAATGGGCTGGATTTTCTCGCTTGAGCGAGAGAATGCTCGCTTAAGCGAGAACCCGACTAGAACATTAAATGAGGGAAACCCCAAATACATTTTTAGGTAAAGAATTGAAGAAAGGTGAGAGAAGAGAGCATTTTCAAGGTCTAGGAGCATTGATTCTTGTCCAAGAGCTTGAGAAGAG